ACGACCTCCTTGAAGAACTTGGACGGCACCACGCCCTCCTTGGCGCCCTCTGTTAGCACGACCCCGTTGTCGCTGATCCACCATGCAATCCCCGCCTTCAGTGCAGCCTCGACATCCACATAGACCAAAACCTCGGCGTCTCTTCTCATGCCGCTGACTTCCTTCTTTGTCTCCTCCGGCAGCGCCGTAGCAAAATGCACGTGATTCCGACCCATTCTCTTCAGGCCGCCGGACGCCTCGATGGCGGGCCACACGGCAAGGAACGTCCCGTGGAACACCGTCGCGGGAATGTTGCCAGCCGCGGCCGTGATGGGCGTGAGAAGCGCGGCAGAGTCAAGCTTGATGCTGTGTCCCTGGTTGGCGCGGATGAGGTAGTGCGACGGGTCCGTAGACGTCTCGTCGAGAGCCGGATTGGTGGCCGGGTTGGGCTTGATAGCGAACCGCGTCTTGTCCGAATTCTCAATGACGGATCGTACGTCGGACAACGTAACCTTGAGCGAACGGATAGGCCCATACGCAAGCTGGAGGAGAGTTAAACCAGAGAATGTAAAAGTGAAGCAGCAGGGATGACAGCCAGGATACGGGGCGAAAGACAACGACGACTTACCACTTCGTCAACCTTGGCCCACCCACCCTCATCAAGCGTCATCCCCGCATTCTCCGCCTGATGCCTCAAGAGCCTCGAAAGCGCCTTGGACACGAGCATGTTCCGGTTCCTGCGGCCGGCCGCCGCCCCTGCCACCGCCCCCTCTCCTGCCACCGCGTCCACCCCGGCCCGCGGTCGCCTTGTCCTCGAGAGCCAGGTGCGCCGCATTGCCGCCCAGGTCGTCAGCCATGGTCCTGTGTCGTCGCGCGCTCCCTCTGGTACCCCGTTGCGTGTGGAGCTGGTGGGCCGAGGTCGATCTCTGCGCTGGCGTGTATCGATGTGTAGCGTCTTGTCCGATGTGCAGTGCAAGCCACGTGGAGAGCCGAGCTTGACGATGGGCTGCGGATGAGAAAGGCCGCATCAGCCTCTTGAATGTTCACCTCGAGTGTCTCGCGGATTGAAGAATGAAAGGGAAAAGGGCGAGCGATGAAAACGTGAACAAAGATGAAGCATGAAGTGGTTCTTACCCAAACTCAAGCCTTAGGCTTCTGGAGGTTCTCAAAATTTGTGGGCCTTGGTTGGTGTGCATCAGGTCGCCGGCCGGTTGACTCACAAATCGACCGCGAGGCTGACAACAACCTTCGTCAGAGCAGAAGAATTATCACATTCCAACGGCCAAAAGCCAAGAGTGAACTACACATGTCATACATTATTCAGCTGTCTACCCTATCCATAACGCCAGGACTCCAGCCGATCATCGTGCAACTGCAACAGCGGCTATGCCTGAGGTCAATTCGACCTAAGACAGTGCTGTCAAAACAGCTTCGTGGAGATAAAGGAAAAGAGTGCCAGCTCTGCACATCTGCTTCGTCATACCATCCTCCCCTTCATATCTTTGTGCAGTCACTTCAATCCGGCTGATGTACAATGTGCCGTTTGCTTGCTCAGGATGGCCAAATGCCTTGCCCGAAGGAGGCCGTAAACAAACAAGAAGGGGGCCGGTCATGTGTCGTCGTAGGTCATACAAGCGAGGAGGACGAGCAGCGAAATCGCGGAGGAATCAGAAACCTTCGCCAACTATGAAGAAGAAGCAGAAAAGGGAGAAAAAATAAAGAAAAGAAAGTAGACGGGGTAGTGCCTGTGCGAGAAAGAAGAGAAGAAAAATAATACATGTGAATCATTTATGCAAGGGTGCGGCTCATCATCCGTCATCTGTAAGCACCTGTTTGTGCCGAGGTAGAGGCATTTGCCATGCTCTCGCGGTTGGGCCTCCGTAAAAAGCTGGCTGTGCGGTTGAGTAAGGAGTTTTGGCCGAGGGACAGGTGTCGTTGTCCTCGTTCTTCCGCCAACTTGTCTGCGACGCTGTTGCCATCGCGATCAGGTGTCGAACGCTCGAAGTATCGGCGTCCACCCAATGCTGAGGGCGTGGAGGGGGACGCGAGTCGAGAAGGGTTGAGCGCCGACGATCCAATCCGTCGGCGGGGAAGGGCAGAACTGTTCGACGATGGGTCAAGTGTAAGAGGTTGTGTCTGAAAGTGGTGAGAGGCAGCGCGGTTTTGTGCTACTTCGGTTTGAGCTCGGGACGGAGCCCTGAAGCGAGGCTCATCGTCGTCGTGTTCGTTGGTGCCTCTGCGCTCGCGGAGTAGTGAGGTCTTTCGGCCCTCCTCCGGCTCCTCTGTTCCTGCCCGTCGAGTCCTGAGCAGCATGGATGACCGGCGGCCTTCTTCAGGCTCTTCGGTCGCAGCGCGCCGAGTTCGACCGATAAAGAGGGAAGACTTGCGAGCAACGCCGTGGGAGGCTTCCGTGGGTGTGGACGAGACGGCAGGCGCGAGGGCGAATCGCGGGCTCGGAAGCGCTGTGGAGTTGAGCATTGTGCTTCTTCTCTCCTCCAGCTTGGACATGGCACGTGGGCTAGGCTCGTTGGTTGTTGCCGGCGCGTCATTGTTCGTTACGCTTCCACGACGCTGGATGTCCAGTCTTGGGAAGCTCTTGGTGATGGTGGGAGTAGTTGGGCCCTCTTTTTGTGGTGACCCACTCGTCTTGATCGTGACTGTTTTGTTCTGAGGCTGGGTTGCCTCTTCGCTCAAGGCCAAGACAAGCTCTGTCAAACTGCGACACACACCCTCCGCGCGTCGTCGAAGTTGTCGATCTGTCAGGTTTGTCCCAGCGCCAACGGTGCTCGCGCCGCTTGAAATTGGGCCCGGCTGGCCAGCTGTGCCCATCATGACAACGAGTGCTACAGCCTCAGTCGCAGCCGTCTCGAGTGCCTTGGACACTTCAGCGCTCAAAAGAGGTTTGGTCCGGTTGATGGCCGAGAAGAGCAGCGGCTGAGCCTCCCGCTGGGAAAGACGTGGTGCTGGTGGCGTCACCGAGGACTGTTGCGTTTCCGTTGTTGTGTTTTGGTGAAGTCGAAACGGTCGTGTTGGTGGCAGTGGCGGGGCGCTCGTCCAGCACCTTGTGAATGGCTGCACTAGAGGTTGAGGGCAGCTTTCCCGTCAGCTCCAAGCGATGAATTCGCGATTTCAGATCGTCCAGCTCATCCCAAACTGTGGAAGGGGCCGTTGTCGAGGCCGTCGACTCCGTGCCTTCGATGCCCTGGCTACCTTCGTGATGCGTATCATGACGATGCGGTTCCGCCTGGCGAGACGCCAGGGGGGATGAGTTGAAGGTCCTAGAGTGTCCGTATGCCAGATGAGATTGTCTATAAGCAGCATTGCGGCTGGCAGGGCCCGGGTTGCTATCAGTGACCGATGTGCGCCTCCTGCTGTACGACGAGCTGTCCGCCGGGGAATCCTGGAACGCCAATGATCGGGGCGTCGTCGGAGAGTTGCGGTACCCTGTGTTCAGAAGCCTTGCTTGTCGAGCGTCTTCACCAGGATGACTTGAGGCACCCTTCTCCCGCAACAAACCACGGTACGGCAAGTCGCGAACCGCGGCCTCTGTGGCGTCGCGATCATCGGTAAGTCGCGATCTTGACCGGGATGTCTCCTGTTGGTCAGAAAGCCGCCGGGTGACACGTGGCGGCGACGTGGACTGGTAGGACGAGGGTACAGCGACAGATAGGGGCCGTCGATGCGACGATCGAGTGACTCGAGTCTGGCTGTCTGTTAGTTTATGTTCATTCATTCCAAGCGCTATTTTTATCACAGGAATGTTTGCAAGACAATGTCAATTGTTCACATCAGAAGCGGGATGATAAGCGAGGCACGCAGAAATGGAGGCAGCGAAGGGACAATCGGGAGAATGAAACGTGGGAAGGGAATGTGGTGACAGGCGGGAACCAAGACCAACCAAGTCGATCCGTGCGATGATCACTTGAGCACCCCGCGGCGAACAAATGGATGGATGGGCCTGTTTGAGCACGGCCATTGTGGATGGCGCTAGGCGTCAACCCGAAACAGATAAAGCAGAACCCATGGAAAAAGACCTTCCGACTTACGACAGTTCGCGGGTCCTCTGCCGACGAGGTTTCGTCGGCAGCGCGGCGGCGAGGTTCTTCCCTGGCGATTTTCATGAAGACATCGCCGGTTGTGTCGTCACCATCCACGAGATGATCTCGTCGTGCAGAATCGGGTGGTGTCGTGTCATGGATCATTTCGTCGTCGGGTCTGCCCTCGAGGGCTCGCAACGTCCGGTCGCGCTGATTCGAATCAGTGTACGAGTAATCGTCGCCGGAGGAGTCCCCGGCATGCGTTGAGGGCGAGTTCATGTCCAGGCCAAAACTGCGACGGGAACCGGAGGAGCGGAATGATCGGATAGGTGCGACACGAACGGATGCAGACGTGTTGCTGGGCGCTCGGAAGGAAAGAGGAGGTCGCGAACGGACGGTCTGCCTCTTTTCCTCCGTTGATGTTGTGCTCTGCAGCGTCTTAGGCAGGAGCAACTCGCGCTGGCCTTGAGCCCACTCCTTTGTGGTGTGTTCGGGTCCGGAGCCAGACAGCTGCGTCGAGTGCGCCGTGTCGATGGATTGGAGGCGGTGATGCGTGTTCAGAGAGGGCGAATGGTCTGCAGTGCTGTCGAGACCATTTGATGTGTTGGACGCGGGAGCTCGGCGGTGTTGTGTCTTTGCGCCTGCCGAAGGTGTCTCTGCGGCGCCTGCGACGTCAGGTGATGCGTGCTCCCGTGACCTGGTAGCGGCAGCGGCAGGCGAATGAGGCAAGGAGGAGGGGCGTGTCGACGAAGAGGTCGCGGGCGTTGTCGCAAAAGTCGGTTGCGGGGACGTCTGTAGGGTCGATGCGCGAGAGCGCGGTCGTGTACGCGGAGGAGACAGTTCGTGATCTTCGGGGATTGAATCACGTTTTGAAAATCGCGTTCGTGGTGGGTACGAGGTAGAAGTCTGGCGGGTGTCTTGGGCAGGCTGTTGTTGATTTTGGTGTTGGTGTTGCTGCGAGGACGGCGCATGGTGTGTTGTCATGCGGGGGATCGAGTTGCTTGTGCCAATCCGAGTCGTGTTTTCGATTTCGCGTGGACTCTGGCTATGGTCCTGGACGCCGGCCGGGGCGCCGCCGCCGCTGTCAGGGCTGTCCCTACCACTGTGGCGGCTCGACCGCGTGCTTTTGCTCGTGGTCCGGGGGGGATGGTTACGCAGGCCTGCACTGGCGACCCCGCTAACGTGCATCGGATTAGGGGGCTGAGATGCGCTATGACTGCTGCTGCTGCTGCTGTTGCTGCTTCTGCTGCTCCTCCTGCTGCCGGTACTGGCCCCCCTACTCATGTTGTCCGACAGGTAAATGCCTGATGGAGGCGCGTCGAGGTCAATCACTCCCGAATTGGGCGAAACGGGCGCCGACGACAGTTGGCTCTGCTCTGAAGGTTGCGGCAGGGCCGGCAGCGGCAACGACTGTTGCTTGTTGAGGTCTCGATCAGCAAACCGAAACGCCGGCAGCTTTGACGAGTTGTGGCTCTGACGATGCGCATGCAGGTGCGACCGTGACGACGATGGTGGGTTAGACGGGTGAAGTGAAGCTGGCGGCGAGGTCGAGGGGGAGGTCGATGGCGATGTCGTAGAGGATACCGTCCCAGCCAGCCCGGGTATTGTTGCTCCAGGAGTCATGGCATAGCCCTCTTCGCCCATGGCTGCTGGCATCTTCCCTCTTCACGCCCTTCGCCCTCGTCGGCCAACGCTGGCGGAGCTAGGATACTTGGAAAACCAATTGCTCTTCAGTGGTCAGCACAAGTCCTCCGCGGTCGACAGATTTTTTGGGTTCTTTGGTTCTCGTCTTGTGGCAATGACGGCGGCGAAGGCGGATTGGCGGATGTCGGAAATTGGCGAATCCCTCAGGCTGTATTGATGGGTGTCCTGCTTTTCCTCTCGTCGTCCTTGGGGGAGGAGGGGGAGCCACCCAGTTTTTCGGGCGTCTTTTTTTTGTTCACCGGATCGAGTACGGGGTTGAGACATGCGTCGTCAGTCAGAAACTTCTGCTCAGTCCGCGTCCTCGAGAGTGCGGCTTCTTCGAAGCGCAAGGCAGGCAAGTTGTGTAAGTGACAGAAGAGATGGGAACGAAGAGTCGTGCTGCGGAGCGTCTGAGATGGATGGACCAGTCCTGGGCCGTGATCGCACGAGGAGGAGAGAAAGCAAGGGGTGTTCAGGTTAGAGGGCGGGAAGGAGGAAGTTGCATTACAAAGGACGGGAGTCGTCGGTTCGGGTTGGCGTGCGACGGTCCTGGAGCGAGCGATTCCCAAGCCGGACAGCGTGATTCGGCTGCACAGGCGACGGACCTGGAGCCGGAAGTCGAACGTCGACAGGACAAGACAGTCTATCCGGGCACCTCGTGGTGATGTAGTACAAACAACGAGGTCAGGTTGGTCAACCCGGGGAGCAGAAGCAAGAAGACTCGCAAGCCGAGTGGATAGCTCAGCGCTGATGCCAGGCTCCTCTAGCTACCTTGGGTTATCTTGGGTGGGCGGGTGAACAGACACGGCAAGGTTGATGTCGGGGTACGAGCGCCTGACGTTGACGTGAACCTTCTTCACTCGTCAACTTGAGCGGCAGCGACGGCTGGGCAGTTCAGGAGGGTCGAGAACCCAGTCGGTTCCGCAACCGGGGGCCTGAGTTCAACTGTCTATCGGTGTTTCCCTTTTGTGCATCGACACGTTTTTGTCGCCATCAAGCAACTGAACAACCTACCTAACCAAACAATATCCACGAGGGCCGTTCGGCCTCTGGGTTCCCGTCGTTGCATCGATCGCACTGCGCTCGCTGCCAGGCTCTTGCCATGATGACCCCGGCCGCCAGTCCCTGGCCAATCTGCCCACGGACTGCCTTCTGGCGCTGGCGCTGGAGTAGGCTTGGTAGGGTCCCCCCCCCCTCTCTGTCAGTGCCAACAGTGGCCTGTCGTCTGGTCTCGTCTCTCAGTCCGGCCGCTGGTTCGACAGGGGCGGCTTGCTAGTGTAGTGGGGAAAGGAACCCAAGTGCGCCAATGGCGGGGTGTCTATGCAGCGGCAGGCACATTCACACGCAGCACAACCCAGACAGCCTTCCAGCGTGCCGATGAGCGCGTTGCCTACTGCGGCTCGAATCACGCTGTCTCAAGGCGAAGCAGCCGGCTCGACGCTGTTGGCCTGTCCCAGATATTCCGTTCAGCTTCTGTCGCGCGCTGGAGTTCCAGTCCAGCTTTCGCTAGCGCTGGCCGTCTCATTCTTGGTACCGGCACAGCGCCCACCATACACATCAACAGCCCAATGTCTGATGACGACCGATATCCGCTTATTCCAATCCACCTATGCAAAGCATAACGACTTACATACCGGCTCTGCCCGTCAGCACGCAGCGTATAAAAAAATCCCCTTGCCGAATTGGCCCTCTTGAGCCCTGCGATATGACAGGGCCCCTCGTCCGCTGCTGACGGATTTGGACTTGATCCAAGCTCCTCCAGTGGAGATCGTACAGGGAATCATTGACCTTAATCTGAGCGAAAGAGTAACATCGCGCCAGGGGAGGATGGTCCGACCACACCACATGCACGAGAATCGATGCCGAAAGCTGAAGAGTCGCCCGTAAGCGACTCCAACTCTCAGACTGATAGGGCAACCCGCCCGAAGCCAAGGGCAGCCGTCATGTCAATCAGCGTGATAGAAACAAAGTCGAAACATTAACAGGCGGAGACACATCGAATTCAGGAGGCTGGGGAAGCATCTCGCGAGGGGGGGCCGTCCTGTGTGCCGACAATTTCACCTCTCATACCGGGATCCCCAGCGTCGTTTCCTCCAATCCATGAGAGGAAGCACCTCGTTTGTGGCCATTTTTCTTCATCTGCAAGCATCATGCTCAAAAGCTCATGTAGTTGGGGCCCCGCCACCCATGCCGTCAGAGCCTCCTTCGTATGCAGTCGAAAAGGGGCATGCATGCATGTATGCAGGCCGTCATCAGCCAGAACGCTCCCCCAGTGCCCAGTGGGAACTTTTCATGAAACAGTCAACATGTATGGGTATCTGTGCGGGCTCCCCATCCATTTGCACCTGGATCGACAAGAGATGAGCTTGCAAATCCTCGCGGTGATACGCCTCTTGCGCGCCAAGGCGACGTTGGTCGTTGAAGCCTTGTGGTGTTCACTTGTATTGTCAAGACGTTTGTTTCTTGCTAACAGCAGGATTAGACTCCGTCGCCAGTCCAGCGGAGTAGAAAAAGCTGGTGAGGGGCCAAGGACATGTTGACTCCTGAATGTTTGCCCGTTGGTGGTCCTAGCCGTGCAGATCTCTTGCAACGAGTCGTGCTATCTGGGGCCATCGCAAATGGAGTCTGTACTCACGAGCTCTACATGGAGGGGAGCAGCCTGTCGTCGAAGACGTGTCTGCTCCTACGCCTGCTTTTCTTTTCTTTTCTTTTTCTTGCCTTTGGCACTGGACCCTGTGGCGACGAATCTGCATTGAAGCCGATGCGGCCGGCGGCAAAAGCCAAAGCCCTCATCCTCCACAGATCGTGGGGCCCAAAGTGGCCTGTCAGCTCATTCGTGAAAAGAGTCATGCCCTCTGCTGCTTCTCTTGTAGACGTAGGCACAGGCCAGGCACTAATGCACCAAGCAATTATATGCGAACTGCAGCCAGGTGGATCTGTCTCTTCTGTAAATTAGCTGCGTTCACCTCGGTGTTGTTTTCGGTGAGCTCAGCGGTGGGTTCTCGGTGATCAACCCCCCCCTCCACCCCCAAGTTCACCTGACGTAATCGTGCCTTCGCTCGGGAATAGACGACGACAGATGTTGCTGGTGTGCGCATGTCACTCATCAGTGACATTTGTGACGCGGCTCGGCGCTACGAAGGCCCAAAGGTTTCAACTCTTCTTGTATACTGATTCGCGGTCCAATGTTCACGAGCGATGAATGAAACAGGTTGGCACCGTGTCAGACGACGTCTGGCGCCGTAACTTGATCTGGATTCGCGCTGAACCTCGCCGTTTGCATTCGTCACGCACCACGTCAACGCTCTCTACTCGAGACGCTGCCAGGCGGGGATGTTACTGGCAATGATTTTTATATTTGGACACAGCCTTAACTGTTTTGATAAGTTGTACGTACAACGGTGATGCTTAGACACGGCTGCATGCGAAATAATAACGGCCTGCCTTGATGGAGCAGGCAGGGCACAGCCGCGGGTCGAGAGCCGGAGCCACACCCTCATTCGAGTTTATCAGAAGGTGGTGAAACTGTGACGCGGCCTTTAGCGTCAGTCTTTTTAGGCTTGCTCGATTGAAGAAGCTCGTGGGTGTAACCCGAGAAACATCCAGAAATGCCGTCGGTACAGTCGACAAGTCTAATGCCTGAGGTGCTGCACGGAATATTCGAGGCACGAGAGAAAACTCGTGTGGGATATCCCTCTTGTGATCAAGGCAAACTACCAATGTGCGGCCTGTAAGGGCTGGTATATTTATTGGCACGTGTCCCAGACGACAATGTTTCCTTATTATCTCACATGGACGTATGCATTTTGATGACGACTTTCCGTATTAGAAAACCCTAACCTTCTGAACTCAGGGGAGAGTTGCCGTTGGAAACGCATGTGCACTAGCAAACAGTTTGGCTGCTCCCGAGAGGCAGCAAGTGTGGACAGCCCCGGACAGATCAACGTCGGCGCCGGAGGTGATAAGTTGAAGCATGAACATGAGCTGGAGTATGTGTTTTCGGCAGTCAATGAACGTGCGGGCTGGCATTCAGAAGGAGGATATTCTGACTGTCCGAGACCAGAAAATTCTCATCTTCTCAATATGTGTCGGCAGTCAAAAAAAAAAACAGATCAATGCCAGAACCTGACTACTGCCAATAATCGGATGATAGAAGTTTTCGGACAACATTGCCAAGAAAATATGCTCAAACAGCATCGCCTCACCTGATGTTGCTGTGAAAGTGATCGCCCTTGCTATGAGCATCGCACTGCGACGTACAATGTATCGAAACCCTACGTATCTGGTCGACATGGGACGGCCGGCTTCCGACCACTCAATGCCAAGCACCTGTTGCCGGCAGCCTGCCACGCCATATCAAACAATGGGCTTTAGCTCAATCCATGAATCGACCAAGAGGGCACTATCTTGACATGACGAGAGCTATAGTGGGACCCTGTTGCTTTGATGGGCAACTTACGGTGAGACTGTTTCGGAGGATCGCCAAGGACATGTATCTGAGGAGTAATTCTGAAGACCCATAACTAGGCACGTAGTCTGCTGTTGAACATCAGGTGGATGCAGCCAGGCTGCGGCCAGGGATGATGGATCCTCGGAGGACGTTACCGAAGCGATTGTATTCTGATCCTCACCCTCGCACCCCAAAGGGGGCTGGATCCCGCTTTCATCCCTTCATGTGCCTGCCGCCCCTCAGGTAGCCTGTCCGGCGAGCCACCACCATCGTCATCGCGAGATGCGGAGCTATGGAGGGGCGGTTGCGAGTAGATGCACATCATATTTCGCAGAGGTTGGGAGCGTCCGCGCCCTAGCATGTGTCGCCTGTCGACCAATATTGCCTCGCCATCTTCCTGGGGACGTCACATGCTTTGGATACAGGGGTTTGTTACGGGATACTGCGCATTGCCCAACAACACACACGGGGCATGGGATTTGCCAGTCAGCTGATGAGCGGCCCGCAAGGT